AGAATAGCCAAGACCCTCTTAGGAAAACAAAGTGGAAGATTAGCTCTACTTGATACCAAGGCTTATCACAGAATTGTGTGGTACTGGTGTAATGACAGACAAATACCAATGGAAAAGAATACCCAGAAAATCAAACTCACTGCCATCGAGTCGGATCCGACCTATAGTGACCCCCCTTGGGTTTCCGAGGCAGCATCTCTAAGGAAGTAGATTGCCCAACCTTCCTTCCAAGGAGTGGCTGGTGGGTTTAAACTACCAGCCCTCTGGTTAGCAGTCAAATGCCTTAGGCACTATGCCACCAGAGTTCCCAAGGAAAAGAACAGAGAGCTCTAAAAAGACTCAGCACCCTGACTGACACTTGATGTGTGAGAAAAGTAAGGAGGAAAATGAACTCTAATAACTGCAATAAATGATGCCAGAACAACTGGAAAACTATTATGGACTGAACTGTGTCCCCAAAAAAGATATGTTCAAGTCCTAATCTCTGGTACCTGTGAATGTGACCTTGCTTGGAAATTGGATCTTTGAATATGTTATCAGTTAACATGAGGTCTTACTGGAGTAAGAAAAGCCAATAGGGCACTTATAAGAAGTCTGCTGGTAAAGGGAACAGGTAATGGCTTGAAAAAAAGGAAACACTGAAAGAAAGTTGTAGGGATTTTGCATTTGATTTTAAGAACAGCAGAGGCATAAAAGATGTGACCATTTCGACATGCTCCTGGGAAGCAATCAGTCAGTGGAAGACTCACTGAAAGCAGAGTCACATTACTTCTTAAGTCCTCAAAATGGGAAAGAAAAAAAAAAATCTAATCCTAAAATGCTTTCTCATTTGGAACTCAATGGAATAGTGTAATTATGAAGATGATGTTATATTAAAAAAAAAAAAGTACTGAAATTTTAAATTCAGAATTCAAGATTCGTCCACATTCTATTTACAACTATCTGACAGAAGTTGAGGCAATTTTTTTTTTATGTTCACATACAATAAATTAGATAGGAGGAAACAGTCCCCCAGATAAGCTTTGATCAAAATAAATTACATAAATAATTAAAGTTGAGAAAAACTAGGACAGACTGGAAAGAAGAAAATGGTGCCAGTGAATGGTGCCCAGCAGGAAGTGAGACCTAGGTGACAGCAAAGAAGAAGTGCACAAATGCTTTACCAAGTGTGCTGGGTAAGTCAGGCAAGAAGGAGCTATGAGTTAGGATAAATACTGAAACTGAAGGTGAGAATATGGGACTTAGGTGGTATTTTGGCTTGTCTGCATGTTTAGAACAGGGTGATTAAATGTAAGGGTTGTTGTTGTTGTTGTTATTTGCCGTCGAGTCGGCCCCAACTCATAGCGACCCCTCCCTGGGTTTCCGAGGCAGTATCATTACGGAAGTAAGGGTTGCTAAGTTCTAAATAAGAAACTAAGTTTCAGAAATTTTACATAATAATGTATGTAAAGCAAAATGATTACTATTTTTCATATAATCATATGCAATGGACTACAGATACTACACAGAGTACTTTGGTCAATAACAAGCATAAGGGCTTACAACACAGTGGACCCACATGTAATTCTTCCTAAGGAACACTTAGAGTATATTAGAAAAATAATAAAATGCGAGAGCTAAAACAGAAGGAATTAATAAGCAGAGGCTTCAGGATTTCAACTAGGAGTAAGTAAGATGGTGATGATGATGATTACTACTCATGCTGTAATTTACAAAAAGGTCTGGGTTGTATAAATCAGAGTATTCAGAAGTTTACAAGCTTACTCAGCTTCCAGAGTAAGTAGATTTATGTCATAAGACTGGAGATAGCAAAGTGGTGCTTGCCAAAACTTGATTAATTAGCAACATTTCATAAGAATTAAAAAACTGAAGCTCCAATTGCCAAAAATTAGAAAAGCTGAAGGGTAAGATTATCTTAAACAGTTCTTAAAAGTTTAAAATTGGCTTAGACTGATCCATGCTACAAATGCAATCACCTAAACTTTTCCAGTGGAATATAAATAAAATATTTCATTTCAACTGTTCCCTTCCTGTTCTTCAAAGGATACATAATATATTACCAAAAAAACCAAACTCACTGCTGTCAAGTCAATTCAACTCAGCAACCTCTCCTTGGGTTTCCGAGCCAGAGCTCCTACATAATGTATTAGGCATACAATAATTAGAATACATGCTAAATTTTACATATATGCTTTTGAAGAATAGAGCCATCACCACTGGGGTTTACCAACAGCCCACACTCCTTTTCTCTAAGGAAAGACCCCCACAGGGCTAGGCTTCTGAAAGCCACATTTGTGCTATGTAACCTCTGCCTAGAACTGGTGTTAGGTAACCTTAGAAGCATTTATATTCATACTACACAAAACATTGTTTCACCTCCTACTTTGGCAAATAGCAACTAGGATCTTAAAAGCTTGCAAGCTGCCATCTAGATGCAACAATGGGTCTCTCCTCGTCCAGAGCAAAGAAGAATGAAGAAAACCAAAAATTCATGGATACAATCAGTCCTCACAACTAGTACACCATCCAATCTGCAGCCTATATGACTATGAGACCAGAAGAACTAGATGATGCCTGGCTACCAATGTCAACCACTTAGAAGGGGAACTATGTAGGAGATCCTGTATAGAGAGGGAGGACAGTGTGGAACAAAACTCAAAATCTTTTGGAGAAAAAAAAAAGGGGGGACCAGGTTTGCTGGTCCGATAGAGCCTGGTGGAACCACTCAGACTATGGCCCCTAGCTGTCCTTCAGGTCTGGAATTGAACCCACACCTGTGATTTCCAGCCAAACAAAAGACAGGCACGTGAGTTGAACATTTACCTGAGGGAGATACACTTCTTGGAGAGAACAATCATGGGAGAAAGAAGGGCTGCTTATGCACAGGGAGACAGCTCAGGGGGCAGGAGTGCATGGAGGGATGGACACAGGGAAGAGGTTAACTATTGGGAGGAAGTGGGAGGGGAGGTGTTGCATTGTGGTAAATTGTGGTCAATGTCATGAGATGAAGTTATGTGAACTGCTGTATGGAAAGTGAATTTGCTCCATAAATTTTCACCCAAATCACAAAAAAAAAAAAAAGTGTTTATATTAAAATAAATATGTATGCAACAGGAGACCTATTATTTCTTCAAGGTATGCAAAAACCTCCTCGCTGTTTTTATTTCATATAACAATGATACCCTGACTTTCCTCAATTCAGTTTCCACATTGAAGTTAAGCTCAAACTCCTGAAAATGCAAACCTTAGCATGTCACTTTCTTGCTTAAAATCCTTGAATGAATGACAGGTGAAGCCTACACTCTTTTACAAGGTCTAAAGGCCCTCTGCAGCTCCTCTCCCTACTGTCAACTTTCTACTTTATGCTCATTGTACTTGTCTCCTCTGAACTTCTGCATATAATTCAAAACATAAAAATGCATCACCTCCTGTCCTTCAGGCTGGCTAACTTCCTATTTATCATGTATTCACAACTTATATCGACATCACTTCCTCCAGGAAGCCTCTCCTGATGCTTTAAGATGACTCCCCACCTGGTGCATCATCAGAACTAGAACTCATCACCCACTACTGTAGTCTCAGGTTTACATTAGATTACAAACACAAGTAGTTCAGAAGTCCAGAAGTTGCATTCATAGACGTTCTTAGCACCTACCATACTGCCTAGCAAATGGATTGTGTAGAATTAAAATTTAAATGAATCTGAAAGATTCATTAAAAGTAAGTGAATCCTGAAGAAATTTTATTTTTTGTGTGGGCATTTCATACATAGTGCCCCATCCCCCCCCCCCCATTATCTCCAGGAGCTAGTCTGAGAAAACCACACTGCCTATCCCATTTCTATCAACACATGTTTCTTTCATTGAAGGTTACAGCAGAAAGGGACCTGAGATGTCAGTCAATTCAATACCTTCAGTACCTAGAGAAATAATATAGGTCAATATCAAACCAAACCTGTTGCCATCAAGTCGATTATGACTCACAGCAACCCTATTAAAAAAAAGACAAAACTCACTGCCATCAAGTCAATTCCGACTCATAGTCACCTCATTGGGTTTCCAAGGAGATAAATCTTTACAGAAGTAGACTGCCCACCTTCTTCTGCAGAGCAGCTGGTAGGTTCAAACCGCCAACCTTCTAGTTAGAAGTCAAATGCTTTAGGTACTATGCCAGCAGAGCTCTTTCAGAGCAACCCTACAGGACAGAGTAAAACTGCCCATAGGGTTTCCAAGGCTGTAATCTTTACGGAAGCAAACTGCTCCATCTTTCTCCCACAGAGCAACTGTGGGTTCAAATTACTGATCTTTCAGTTAGCTGCTAAGCACTTAACCACTATACCACCAAGACTCCTAAGAGGTCGTTAAAAACTGTCATCATTTGTTCCTACATTAAACACTTTTCTTCATCCTCCCACTCCCCAAAACTCAATCTTTCTGCTAATATCCAATTTAATCCTTTTCCAGTTGTCCTCACCTACCTAACAAAATGATTTTTACTTTTTTCAGTAATTAGGAGCTCTGGTGGCATAATGCCTAAGGCATTTATTTGACTGCTACCCAGAAGGCTGGTGGTTCAAACCCACCAGCCGCTCCTCGGAAGGAAGGCTGAGCAATCTACTTCCATAGAGATACCACCTCAGAAACCCAAGCAGGGGTCACTATGAATCAGAAACAACTTGACAGCAGTGAGTTTTAAATTAGATAAATGCCATGTGTCTGTTAATGTCAGTGGAAGTCTACCACTTGTTACCTAAAGATAGATCATAAATTCTAGGAACAATGGTTTATCTTAATAAAATCTGAGAAAATTTAGAGCATTTTATATACAATATGTTATTAGCGATAGCAAAGAACTGTAACTACAAAATGAGAAAAGAAAATCAAAAACCAGAAAATAAATTTAATTGTATGATAATAAATTAAAAAAATAATAATTAGGTTTTATTATCTACTCTCTAATCTTACCTATACTGATCTACCAATTAAATATTAAGTGCCTACCTAAAAGCCGCTTCCCAAAAGCAGTTCATTCCACAAACATCAGAGGGCAGCATCCAATAGGGATTCCAGTAACACAGAGAGAAATCTTTACACCTAACAGAGTAAGACAGAAATAAGAGTCCTATGTAAGTATTTCAGTTTAGAACTAACAAGGAATTTACTCAACAACGTAACAACTTACTGTTCTAGTTTAGAGCAATCAATCTGAAAACCCGGTCTACCAGGATAACTTGAAGATTTTTGAAAATAACCTTTCTCCCTTACTTGGGGCACCATTATTTTAAACAGAACTTTAAAACCTTTAGAATATACAGATTGGGAAATTTTTCTAGCCAGGAACTCTCCTGACATATTAAAAAAAAAAAATGGAAACACTTCAAAATTTTCCCCCATTAACTGACCTCTTCCTGCATAAGCACAGTATTTTCCCTTAAAAAAGAATCCATTTTGGCAAAACAAAACGTTATCCTGAAGCAAAATTAAAATGCCACAAATGCTTGGTGGAAAGGGAAGAGTAGACCTTCCAATGCGTCTAGTGAATTCTTCAATCGGAGATACTTATATGGCATTTTAAATTGAAAATTGGAAATCCTGCCAACAATACCTGCGGCTCTGTTTCATTATCTACAGTACCTCAAGTTCATTACATTACACAGCTGAAATGGAAGTTTGAAAAAATTTTTCTTCTTAACATCTAAGTGTGATCTTTCTTCCTAGATCTCAGGTTGTAGCTAAAACAAACACCTCCTGTTACAAAACGGCTGGGTTTTTTTTCCATTGTTAATCTTTTTCAACTCATCTGTCAGTCTGTCATACTGTGCAAGTGTGGCTGTGATGCTGGAAGCTATGCTAACAATGTTTCAAATACCAGCAAGGTCACCCATGGACAGATTCCAGCAGAGCTTCCAGACAAAGACAGACTAGGAAGAAGGAAGGAGCTATCCACTTTTTTTTTGGGGGGGGGGGTGTAAAAAAAAAGGCCAAGGAAAACTTTATGAATAGCAGTGAAACACTGTCTGATACATCACTAGGAATCTTTATGAATAGCAGTGAAACATTGTTATATGCTGGAAGATGAGCCCTTGAGGTTGGAAGGCGCTCGAAATGCAATTGGGAAGAGCTGCCTCCTCAAAATAGAGTCGACCTTAATGACATGGATGAAGTAAAACTTTTAAGACCTTTATTTGTTGATGTGGCATTACTCAAAATGAGAAGAAACAGCTGCAAACTTTCATTAAAAATCTTAATAATAGATTTAATGCATTGAACACCAATGACCAAAAGACCAGGCAAGTTCTAGGATGACATCAAGAACATCATACATGAAGAAAGCAAAAGGTCATTAAAAAGACAGGAAACAAAGAAAAGACCAAAATGAATGTCAGAAGAAACTCTGAATCTTGCTCTTGAACAAAGAACAGCTAAAGCCAATGAAAGAAATAATGGAATAAAAGAGCTGAAGAGATTTCAAAGGGTGGCTCAGGAGAACAAAGTAAAGTATTAGAATGAAATGTCAAAGACCTGGAATTAGAAAACCAAAAAGGAAGAACGTGCTTTGCATTTCTCAAGTTTAAAGAACTGAAGAAAAAATTCAAGCCTCAAGTTGCAATACTGAAGGATTCTATGGAAAAAATATTGAACAATGCAGGAAATATCAAAAGAAAATGGAAGGAATACACAGTGTCACTGTATCAAAAAGAACTGGTCAATGTTTAACCAACTCAGGAGGTGCCATATGACCAAGAACCAATGCTACTGAAAGACCTAGTCCAAACCACACAAGGTGCCAGGAACTGATGGAATACCCACTGAGATGTTTCAACAAACACAGGCAGTGCTGGAGAGGTTTATTTGTTTATGCCAAGGAATTTGGAAGACAGCTACTTAGCACCTGACTGGAAGATATCCATATATGTGCCCATTCGAAAGAATGGTGATTCAACAGAATGTGGAAATTATCAAATCATTATCATTAATAATCACACGCAAGTAAAATTTTGCTGAAGATAATTCAAAAGAAGTTGCAGCAGTACACTGACAGGGACCTGCCAGAAATTCAAGCTGGATTCAGAAGAGGATGTGGAAAGAGTGATATCATTGCTGATATCAGATATAAAGATGCTTACCTATTGTTTACTGACTGTGCAAAAGCATTTGACTACGTGGATCATAACATATTTTGGATAAGACTGAGAAGAATAATTCCAGAACACTTAATTATGCTAATGAGGAAGCTGTACAAAGACCAACAAAGTGCCATTCAAACAAAACAAGGGGTTACTGCATGGTTTAATGTCAAGAAAGGCGTGTGTCAGGGTTGTACCCTTTCACCATACTTATTCAATCTGTATGCTGAGCAAATAATCCAAGAAGCTGAACTGTATGAAGAAAAACATAGTATCAGAATTGGAAGAAGACTCATTAACAACCTGTGATATGCAGATGACATAACCTTGCTTGCTGAAAGTGAAAATGACTTGAAGCACTTACTGAAGAAGATTAAAGACTAGAGTCTTCAGTATGCATTACACCTCAACATAAAGAAAAAATCCTAACAACTGACCAATAAGCACATCACAATAAATGGAGAAAAGACTGAAGTTGCCAGGGATTTCATTTTACTTGGATCCAAACTCAACACCCACAGAAGCAGCAGTCAAGAAATCAGACGTCATATTGCACTGGGCAAATCTGCTGCAAAAGATCTCTTTAAGTGTTAAGGAGCAAAGATGGCACTTTGAAGACTTAGCTGCGCCTGACCCAAGCTATGGTATTTTCAATCGCTAAATATGCATGTGAAAGCTGGGCAATGAAGAAGGAAGACCGAAGAAGAATTGATGCCTTTGAATTGTGTTGGCAAAGAATACGGAAAATACCATGGACTGCCAGAAGAATGAACAAATCAGTTTTGGAAGAAGTACAACTACAGTACTCCTTAAAGCCAACAATGGCCAGGCTTCATATCACCTACTTTGGTCATGTTGTCAGAAGGGACCAGTCTTTAGAGAAGGATATTATGCCTGGTAAAGAGTCAGCGATAAAAGAGAAGATCCTCAATGAGATATACTGACACAGTAACTGCCAGCAATGGGCATAAGCATATCAAAGATTGTGATGATGGTGCACGACTAGGCAGTGTTCCATTCTGTTGTATATGGGGTAGCTATGAGTTGGAGCCAACTTGACAGCAACTAACAATAACATTCCTTTAAAAAAAAAAAAAAAAAAAAAACCATTGTCAACGAGTCAATTTTGACAGTAAGAGCAAAACTGTCCCATAGGTTTTCCAAGGCTATAATCTTTATGCTGACCTTTTGGTTAACGTTGAACACTTCAGCCACTGTGCCATTAGGGCTCTTTTTCAATAATTCACCATTGTGGAGATCTGGGTACTAAAGTAGGCACATATGATATTCAGGGTAAGTCATTAAACCAGGCTACCTCATATCCCATCACTATGTAACTTTGTTTTCTCTCACTGTTGGCTCAAGTATAAATTACTATTTTTATAGATTTATTGTACATCATGAAATTCCAAATTTGCAAAGATCTATGATCACACCCCTGAAAAATACCAGCCATCTAATGCAGGGGTTCTCAGCCCTGGATGTACAAGGAAATCAACTGAAAACCCCATAGCAGACCTATTAAATCACAATCTCCGGGAATAGATTAGGTGCTGGTGATTTTTAAAATGTCGCCTAAGTAATTCTAAATGCTAGTGCATGAAAAACTATACATAGTTGGAATTTTTAAATAGGAAAGAGTTACATTTAATTTAGTTTTCCTTTAAATGGACACTATTCTCTAGTATGGCATAAAAAGTTATGTATCTTATGTCAGAAGAAGAAAAGAAAATGTGTGCATACCAGTAAAATTTAGAACTTCATTAGTAAATGTTTATACTTTCATCAGCATGGTTATGTATTTTTAAGTCCTGCATTTCATATCGAGGGTCAGATTCAGTGGTAGTGGTTAACAATGAATACTTCCAAAGATGAACCCTTCTGCACATATAGTACTGTGTTGTCAGTGAAAGCAAACATGGGTATACGAGTGGATAGATGGGTGGACAGGCTGAACTAGTAGGTATGTCTATGAAGTGGGGAGTGTACCCAAGAACATGTATAGGGTTGGCAGACAACGGTCCTATAAGTTTACGTGTATGATCTGAATTCCCTGGTGTACAGTAGAGCTGACAAGAGGCAAGGTGGTAGTCACTGCTTGGTCACAACCAGCTACCCAGAGGGACCAAGTAGTTGAACCTGTGGGCTCGGGACCATAGTCGCAGGGAACATCAAGCTCAATTGACATAACATACTACACAAAACACTGTTCCACCTCCTACTTTGACAAGTACCAACTGGGATCTTAAAACCTTGCAAGCTGTCATCTAGATGCAACGATGGGTCTCTCCTCGTCCAGAGCAAAGAAGAATGAAGAAAACCAAAAATTCATGGATACAATCAGTCCTAGCAACTAGTACACCATCCAATCTGCAGCCTATATGACTATCAGACCAGAAGAACTAGATGGTGCCTGGCTACCAATGTCAACCACTTGGAAGGGGATCAATGTAGGAGATCATGATAGAGAGGGAGAACAATGTGGAACAAAACTCAAAATCATTTGGAGAAAAAAAAAGGGGGGGAGGACCAGGTTTGCTGGTCCGATAGAGCCTGGTGGAACCACTGAGACTATGGCCCCTAGCTGCCCATCAAGTCTGGAATTGAACCCACACCTGTGGCTTCCAGCCAAGCAAAAGACAGGCCATATGAGTTGAACATTTACCTGAGGCAGATACACTCCTTGGAGAGAACAATAATGGGAGGAAGAAGGGCTGCTAATGCACAGGGAGACAGTTCAGGGGCAGGAGGGCATGAAGGGATGGACAAAGGGAAGAGGTAATTATCAGGAGGAAGTAAGAGGGGAGCTGTTGTATTGTGGTAAATTGTGGTTAATGTCATGAGACAAAGTGTATGTGAACTGCTGTATGGAAAGTGAATTTGCTCTGTAAATTTTCACCCAAATCACAATTTTAAAAAAAAAAAAAAAAAAAAAAACAATGAATACTTCCATAGTTCTTTTCAGAT